TTTCCCAGAAAAGCGATCCTACCTTTTCCCAGAAAAGCGATCCTACCTTTTCCCATATCAGGAGCCTTTCTCTCACCACCCACCCACCCACCCATCCAACCTTCTCTCCCCCCTTCCCCTCCTCTCCAGGCCCCAATCCCCCCCTGGGAGACGCACCCCGCGTGGGTACACCAATCCAGTTCAGGTATCGAGTCAGCTTCTTGGAGATGTAGGTCTTGCCTCTAGCAGGTAGGCCCACCATGACGATCAGTGTGGGGCAGTTGGTCATACAGACTGGAAAGCAAGTAAGGCATAGGGTAAGCTATGGGGGGGGGGGGGGAGGGAAGGGGAGCTGCCAGTGTGTTCCTCCCTCCGCTTCAGAGCCCTTGTTCAGAGCTGTCTCTTCCCAGCTTCGTGGTCTCAGCAGCCCTGCAACCCCAGTTTCAAGTTAACAGCTCCCCCTTGTTCAGAATGATTAGGCTCTCATGGATGTAAAGAAATGGCAGCAGGCCTGGGAAGGTGGCTCAGTGGTAGAGTGCTCGCCTAGCATGCGTGAAGCCTTGGGTTTGATTCCTCAGTACCACATCCACAGAAAAAGCCAGAAGCGGTGCTGTGGCTCAAGTGGTAAGAGCACTAGCCTTGAGCCAAAGAAGCTCAGGGACAGTGCCCAGGACTGGCAACAAAAAGGGAGGAAAGAAGGAGGGAAGGAGGGAAGGAAGGAAGGAAGGAAGGAAGGAAGAGAGGGAGGGAGGGAGGGAGGGAGGAAGGGAGGGAGAGAGGAAGGAAAGAGAGAAAGAAAGAAGGGAGGGAGGAAACGAGGGAGGGAGGGAAGAAACAAGGGAAGGAGGAAAGAAGAAAGAAAGAAAGGAGGGAGGAAGGAAAGCAAACAAGCAAGCAAGCAAGAAGCCCCATGCCGGTGGCTCATGCCTGTAATCCTAACTACTCAGGAGGCTGAGATCTGAGGATCACGGCTCAAAGCCAGCCCAGGCAGGAAAGGCCATGAAACTCTCATCTCCAGCAGAAAACTGGAAGTGGCGCTGTGGCTCAAGTGGTAGGCGCTCGCCTTGAGCTGAAGAGCTGAGGGACAGTGCCCAGGCCCAGAGTTCAAGCCCCTGCAACGGTCCTTGCGCACCTTTTGCTCAAGGCTAGTGCTCTACCTCTAGAGCCACAGCGCCACTCCCAACTTTACCTGTGATTAACTGGAGATAGGAATCTCCTGGACTTCACTGCCCAGGCTGGTTTCGAACCATGATCTTCAAATCTCAGCTTCCTGAATAGCTGGGATTACAGGCGTGAGCCATCAGTGCCGGCCTGTATGCCCTTTCATTGGGTCCATTTCCTTTCTTTGCCAGTCACAAAAGTTGACTCTTTATTTTGTTTCTTTATGTGGGGGTTGTGGGGCTTGAACTCATGACCTGGGAGCTTTCCTTGAGTTTTTTTTTTAAACTCAAGGCTAGCACTCTTAGCATTTGAGCCACAACTCCACTTCCAGCTTCTGTGATGCTTAATTGAAGATAAGAGTCTCCTGGACTTTCCTGCCCAGGGTTGGCTTTGAACTGAGATCCTCAGATCTCAGCCTCCTGAGTAGCTAGTAGCATGGTAGTGCTCAGCTCAAGCAATTCTCCCTCTCTCTCTTTTGACCAGTCCTGGAACTTGAACTCAGGACCTGGACATGGTCCCTGAGCTTCTTTTGCTCAAGGCTAGCACTCTACCACTTGAGCCACAGCGCCACTTCTGGCTTTTTCTGTGGCTGTGGTACTGAGGAGTCGAACCCAGGGCTTCATGCATGCTAGGCGAGCACTCTACCACTAAGCCACACTCCCAGCCCTCAGTATTTATCTTGTCTCTGACCCTTTACAGGAAACTCGGACCCTAGAAGGTCCTAATCGGTGAAATCGGAATGCCAGAACTCTTCAGGGAAGTAATGTCCTCTACTTGCTTTTGCACAACAGGCCGAACCTGCAGGGCACACCTTGTGTTCACTGCCCTTGGGACTTAGGGTGTGGAGCCCATGAGCTAATCCTGGGCGGGCCCAGCACAGACATTACCTAGGGGCCAGAGGCTCCTGCCTGGCAGCCTAGCCACTGGGGAGGCTGAGGTCTGAGGATCACAGTCTGAGGCCTGCCCAGGCAGGAAAGTCTGTGAGACCCACATCTCCAATTAACTTAGCTCCAGAACTGGTGGCTCAAGTGGCAGAGTGCTAGCCTTGTACCAAAAGGCTCTTGGGGGCCAGCATCCGGGTCCTGAGTTCAAGCCCCAGGACTGGCAAAAGAAAGAGAAAAACCTCAGCATCTGCCAAGATAGGAGGAAGAGAAATGAACTGAGGCCTAATCCGATGGACAGTTTTTTTTGGGGGGTCTGTCTGTACCCACAAACTTCCAGCCAAAGACAATCAGGGATCTTGAACTGATAAACTGGCACTTTCCATCTGCTCCCCATTTTCATGGGGCCACCCTTTCCCTGTCCCTCAGGGACAACCCCAGAGTCCTCAGGATTGGGGTTCAGGGCCCACAAGGGGTTCACAAGTCCTATCTTCCTAGATTCGCCTCTATAGTTCAGGCTTCCCTCCACCGACAGCATTTGAAGATACAACTCCCTTCTCTTGATAAACATGCCCAGCAGGGTGCCATCGCTCAAAACACACAAAAAACCACGTGGGCAGACAGTATATTGGGCCCAGGCACAAAAACAAGGTAATAAATTAGCTATCATTTCTGCTGTTTATGATAAGCTCCAGAGAAATGGTCCCACAGGTAAATCAAAGTTCACCAACAGGCTGGGTGCCGGTGGCTCACGCCTGTCATCCTAGCTACTCAGGAGGCTGGGATCTGAGGATCGCTGTTCAAAGCCAGCCCAGGCAAGGAAAGTCTGTGAGACTCTGATCTCCAAGGAACCACTCAGAAAATCAGAAAGTGGCGCTGTGGCTCAAGTGGTAGAGCGTTCGCCTTGAGCTGAAGAGCTGAGGGACAGCGCCCAGGCCCAGAGTTCAAGCCCCAGGACCAACTAAATCACTGAGCTCACAAGCACACACACTGCCACTAAGCAAACAAGACAGGAGACATGAGCAGAAGAGGAAGGAAATGTTGAGAACAGATGGACATAGGTTCCTTCTTTAGTTCATTTCCTGTAAATCTAATGAAGGCCATCAAAGCCCTAGCAGCCCAGAGGTCCAAGTCGTGGTCGCAAGACAGAGCCCTCCTCCCCCTCAAATTCTGGACACTTCCATGGACTCAAGTCCCTGGAGTCCATGATGGATTCCTGACCTGCATCTTGCTCCTCCTCTCTCTGAGCCCCCCCCCCTCCCCTCCTCCCCCCCCCCCCCCCCCCCCCCCCCCCCCCCCCCCCCCCCCCCCCAACTGGGAAAGGAAGAGCTCTTGATTCAAATAAAGCAGCCTGGATCCTGGTATGGATGGTACATATCTGCAATCCTAGCTCCTCAGGAGGCTGAGATCTGAAGATCACAGTTCAAAGCCAGCCCGGGGAAGGAAAGTCTGTGAGACTCTTCACTCCAATGAACCACCCAAAGAAGCCAGAAGTGGAGCTGTGTGGTTCAAAGTGGTAAAGCGCTAGCCTTGAGCTCAGGGACAGAGCCCAGGACCTGAGTTCAAGCTCCAGTAGTGGCATAAATAAATGCATGCACGCATGCATACATGAATGAATAAATCAAAATGGCTCAGAGGTCCAAGTCTTCACTGCCATGATCCCGGGTACCCTCTGCCCCACCAGACCCCAGAAATTCACAGTGTAAGCTGAGAGGTGAATCCTGAGAAAGATAAGAATTTCCAGGTACTCAGAATTGCTGATGTTGGGGGCGGGGGAAGGGGGTTTGAGGGCAGTGGTGGATGTAGAGGGGGCATAGGACCGGATGAGCTGGAGACTAGACACCAAAGAAAAAGCAGAATGTAGCTGGGCGCTGGTGGTTCAGACCTGTCATCGGAGCTACCCAGGAGGCTGAATTATGAGGATCACAGTCTCCTAAGAACCACCAGGAAACAGGAAGTGGTGCTGTGGCTTAAAGCACTAGCCTTGAGCGAGAGAGCTCAGGGACAGAGCACTTGGGCCCTGAGTTCAAGTCCTACCACCCCCAACCGAGGAAGAGAAGGAGGAAGAACTCAATCTCTCAGAACTCATTCCTACCAGAACGCATAGTGTGAGCACAGAAACACACACATTGCTCTCCCCATTCACATCAGGGTCAAAGTCTTGGCCTTGGAAGGTCTAGTGGCACGGGCCAAGCTCTCCCCCTTTTCTTATCACACAAAGCAGAGGTCAGGGGTGTGGGGAGATCACAACGGGGCTCCGTGTCTCCCCAGATCCTCGCCACGTTGCAAACTCATGATAGTGTTTCATTTACTCCTGAAACAAAAATGCTCTTCTTCCCAGGGCTGGGAAGGTGGCTCAGTGGTAGAGCCCTGGCCTAGCACGCACGAAGCCCTGGGTTCGATTCCTCAGTACCACTTACACAAAGCCAGGAGTGGTGCTGTGGTTCAAGCGGTACAGCACCTGGCCTTGAGTGGAAACAGGTGCCCAGGCCTTGAGTTCAAGGCCCAGGACTGGCAAAAAAAAAAAAAATTCTCCCAGGTTATAAGAAAAGGTGCAGACTTGTTATGCGTATAACCCCAGCTCCTCAGGAGGCTGAGATAGGAGGATCCAACTTCAAAGATGACCAGGGCAGGAATGTCTGTGAGATTCTCAACAACAACAACAACAACAACAGTAATAATAAACTGCTTCAAGTGCAGTGGTGATTCCAAGGCTTCGAGTGCCAGCCCTAGAAGTTCAGAGACAACGAACACCCAGGAGACGGAGTTGAAACCCCTTAGGGTTTCAATAAATAAACAAGTGAAAGCAGGTGCGTCCAATCTGCACACCACTGGACGCTGGTACTTCTCTAAAAGTGCTTCCCCAATGTGGGTTTTTAAAGCCCAAGGGTATTTATCCTCTGGCCTTTGGCTTCCGCCTGGGCCAAGTTCTTGGGTCAGAAAGGTCAAGGGTCTCACCCAAGGGTCACCCAAAACCAAATTCCCAGCTGAGACCACCCGCCCTGTCCCATCTAGGAGCCCAGGAAGAGGTGAGGGTGGGAGGGGGGGACCCTGGTGACCCTCAGAGTTCCTCTCCCTTAGCCCCCCCATGTCCCCCCTCCACCAAGATGACAGTGGCCCACACAGCCCCCCCCCAAACTCCAGGTACCTGATCCCCCCCAGCCACCCCAACACCGCCTCACCTGTCCCCCCCCCACCCATCACCTGTCCCAGCTTTCCCACGGGTCCTCTCCCCTCCCCTCCCCCCCATGCCAGGCCCTCCCCCTGTCCCCCCCCACCCGCACCCCCATCTCACCCCCACGCTGGCAGGCGTGCAGAGCGGGCCGCCCATTGCTGTATGGCATCCAGATCTTCTTCAGGGGGTTCTGGGTTAACTCGCGTGGGGACGCCATCCCCAGATCGGGGATGGACGGTGGACGATCGTCGCGGCCGCCGCCGCCTCCGCTCGCAGAGCCAGCAGCTGGGCCACCTCGGGCCACCGCGAGGCCACGCCCCTCCCGCGGGCCACGCCCCTCCCGCGGGCCACGCCCCTCTCCTAGTCGGCCGCTAGGCTGGTCCAGCCCCTGGAATAACCCGCCCCCGGGCTAACCAGGCCCCGCCCCTCCACCAATCAACTCGGAGGGAAAGGGCGGAGGGGGCGGGGCCGGCCTCGCGACGTGCGCACGCGCGCCTCTCCCCCTCATTCATTCTTTGAGGATTTGCTTGGAACCCGGCGCACAAGACTGAGAATGCGCATGCTCATCTCCCAAGGTGCGCGAGACCCGGATTTATGTAAGCCCGCCCCTTTCCCCTTTCCTCCTTTTCTCCTCCCCCCCCACCCCACACCGTTATACCTCAACCTCCGTGTCGATTTGCATAAGCCACGCCCCCTCCGCCGCTGCAGCCCCGCCTCTGAGGAGACTTTGGGTTCCGCTACAGGCTGAACGACGCGAGCAGGGGGCGGAGCTCGCGCCGTTTCCCCGCCCCCCCACCACGCCGTTCCGGGATTGCCTTCTGACCAATTAAAAATCAGAGCGACCGGCACACGCACTTCTTTACAAATAAACAAACAGAACGCGGGGCGGGGGAGGCGGCGCAGGGGGTAGAGCGCCGGCCTCGCGGGCAGGAGGCCGTGGGTTCGAATCCTCAGCTCTACAGAAGCAGAAAAAGGCCTGAAGTGGCTCTTGTGGCTCCAGCTGAGTCCACCAGGGACTCATGGCTCACACCTGTCAGCCACAATCTAGCTGCTCTGGGTCAGCCCCAGGGGTGGGATGGATGGGATGGGGTGGGGTGGGGTATTTGACCTCCCTGGTGGCTCACCCCTGTCATCCTAGCTACACAGGAGGCTGAGATCTGAGGATCACATGAGATCTGAGGATCACAGTTCAAAGCCAGCCCCTGGCAGGAAAGTCCCTGAGACTCTGATCTCCAATAAACCACCAGAAAACCAGAAGTGGCGCTGTGGCTCAAGGGGTAGAGCGCCTGCCTTGAGCAAAAGGACTCAGGGACAACAGCGCCCAGGCCACGAGTTCAAGCCCCACCACCACCGACAAGAAAAATAAATAATAAATAATATAGCTCTTGCTCAGGGACAGAGGCCTGGTGATGATGACACGGGCTGGGCCTGCCATTGTCTCTTCCTCTTTACTCCCCCACCCAAGATGACTGAGGCTGTGGGCCCAGCCCAGGGAAGTTCCCCAGTGATCTTCACCTTCCTCCTCACCATTTCCCGGAAAACAACTGCCCTCCCATGCCCGCCCCCCCCCCCAGGCCCAGATCCCCCTGCTTTCCATCTTAGGGGGATGAAAATTGATCTCCATGTATGCCCTCCTTGGGGTGTCTGTATGGAGAGGGTCTCTGAGGGCCCAGCTGGGGCCCAGACAAAGCAAGCCGGAGTATACAGCAGGTGCTTAGAGGAGCTCAGGACCTGGCATCACAGCAAGTCACAGCCGAGGAGAAACTTCCTAAATGATTCTCTTCAACTGCCCCCCCCCTCAAAACTGGGGGAGTGTGTCAGGAGTGTGTGTGGCCCTAGATAAACATGACCCCTTGGAGGCCTGTCATTAAAAACTGCTCCAGCTGACTGTCTCTCCCCTTGGATGGAAGGAAGGCACTATTTATAGTCCCCCCCATACACACAGCCCAGCCCCCCCTCTTCTGCAAGGCCACAGTGTCAAATCTTCTCTTCCGGCCATGGTACCTTCAGGGCCCCCCAGATCTTCTCCCAACTCCTTCCCTCCCCTCCCTCCCCACGCCCCGCCCCATACCTACCCGGTCTGCCATTCCACGGTCCCAGATTGGTCAGCCTCCAAGTGCTTCTGTCCATCCTACCACTGAACTGGCCAGGGTCAGGGCACCCAGCAGCTCTGGGGCAGGAGTAGGGCAGCCCCGCCCTCTGGAGGCTGGAGGAGAGCAAACCCCGCCTTTTTAGACACCTTAAGCCCTTCCCTCCCTGTCCCCCCCCCCCCAGGCTGCTTTGCACTGTGAAATTCACAAGGACCTTCCTTCCCTCCCCCACCCCAATCCAGGCTAGCAGCCATTCCTGATCATAACTGCCTCTTTCTCACCAGGGCGGCTCTAGATCTGCCTTTGGCTGTAGGCAGACTTATCTGTCTATTCCACAGGGCAGGCCTGACCAGAAAGTCAGCTCTAGCTCCAGCCTGGTGATGGAGTAGGAATGTAGGTGTTTGTGTGTGTGTGTGTGGGGGGGGATAGTGTCAAATCAGGCAAAATTGATTACTTCCTAAGTAAGGGTATCAGGTGGGTGAAAAGAGGGGGTGAGTCTGGTGCCAGAGGCTCCCGCCTGTCACCCTAGCTACTCAGGAGGCTGAGATCGGAGGATCATAGTCTGAAGCCAGCGGGGGGGGGGGAGGGGGGAGTCTGAGAGACTCTTATCTCCAATGAACCACCAGAAAAAGCTGGAAAGTAGAGCCAGTAGAGCTAGTAGGGGTAGAGTGCTAGCCTTGAGCCAAAAGGCACAGAGACAGGGCCCAGGCCCTGAGTTCAAGCCCCAGGATACACACACACACACACACACACACACACACACACAGATGGTGAGTAGATGTGATTCAGCCATTATGTGTCCCTGCCTGTGTACACATGACCAGCTGAGTGTCCATCCTTTGGTCACCTGACATTGAGCACCTGCTGCAATCATAACCTTTACATACCAGTCGATGCTACAAAAAATAAAAAAGCTTGGTGGCAAACTGGGTGCCGGTGGCTCACACCCATTATCCTAGCTACTTGAGAGGCTGAGATCTGAGGATCAGGGTTCAAAGCCAGCCCAGGCAGGAAAGTCTATGAGACTCATCTCTCCAACGATCCACCAGAAAACCAGAAGTGGCGCTGTGTGGCTCTCAGCAGTGGAAGGCTAGCTTGAGTGGAAAAAAACTCAGGGATGGTGTCCAGGCCCTGAGTTCAAGTCCCAGGACTGACAAATAAAAGGGGGGCTTGGTAGCATCACTCATTGAAATTCAGGTGAACAACTTAGTGAGGGAAGGGGAGAGCAAGGTTGGGACATGGAAAGCCTGAACCCCCCTTTTCCTGGGGCCCTGTGTAAGGGGAGATGCACCCTCTCCTCCCAGATCCCTTCCAGGCCTCCTCCCTCCTCTTGTTCATGTATTCTCACAGCTGTAATGGTTCCTATGGAGGGGACATCAGAAGCACACATGCACTCATGGGGGGGGGGGAGGTGGCCATCATCAGATTTCCCAACCCAGGAGAGACTCTCAAGAGCTCCACCTATTGGAGTGGCATTGCTATCTCTGTGAGCACAACACACACCACTGATCTACAGACAGTACTTCTCTTATAGAGGCCCTGGGAATAGGTGGAGGGAGACCCAGACTTGAAGGCCGTACATAGTCTGATCAGATGCTTGGTGGAGACTTCTGTTGTTTTGTTATTGTTGGTGGTGATGGTGGTGGGGCTTGAACTCTGGGCTTGGGCGCTGTCCCTCAGCTCTTCAGCTCAAGGCGAGTGCTCTACCACTTGAGCCACAGTGCCACTTCTGGCTTTTTCTGCTTCTGTGGTGCTGAGGAATCGAACCCAGGGCCTCATGCATGTGAGACGAGCACTCTACCACTGAGCAACCTTCCCCGCTCCTAGATTTGGTATTTTTTTCATCAGTTCAATTTGTTCCGGCATCTTTCTTGGATAAAGTGACTGATTTCTCAGTGTTGGCCTGAAGTTCACCGGGTTTCCTTGGCGTCTGGGTGGTAAGTTCCGTACCAAGTAAGTGCGTCATTGTGTCTGTCAGGCAAGGCGATGCTTCCCAGCAGGTGAAAACACCTGAGAAATCAGGTGTTCGCTCCATACCTGTTGAGACCTGACATTGTGTCTTGCTTTCCCAGAAACCCTCAAACAAGTCTCTTGATTTTTCTGAGCCTGGGGGCACAGCTGCCATTTCAGCCCTAGAATCAGGCCTCTGTCAGAGCAAATGATGGTGCATCTTCACTATAGCACTACTTATGAGAGCACTAAGCCCAATACCCCTGAGAGCCAATGGAGGTGATTCTTCACTTTCACCACAAGAGGGCAGCCTGAGCCCAGGCAGCCAAGAGTGCCAATGATGGTGCAGCTACACGATTGCACCACACCAGGGCACACCTAAGCCAAGGCTTCGGTGATTGCAAATGATGGTGTGTCTTCATGATTGCATCACTCTCTGGTGCCCTAACCCCAGGCTTTAATGAGAACAAAGGATGGTGTGTCTTCCCCACTGCACCACACAAAGAGCCCTGGAGAGCAAATGATGGTGATTCTTCTCTTTCACCACACGAGGGCGCCCGAAGCCCAGGCTTCCGTGAGTCCCAATGGTGCTGCAGCTTCACAATTGCACCACGGGAGGGCGCGCCTTAAGCCCAGGCGTCTGTGAGAGCAAACCAGGCTGATTCTTCTCTTTCACCACGGGAGGGCGCCCGAAGCCCAGGCCTCTGGGAGAGCCCATGGAGGTGATTCCTCCCTGTCACCACAGGAGGGCGCCCTGTGCCCACGGGTCAGGGGTGATCTGTGCTGTTGCTCACAGTTCCTTTCTGGGGAGAGGAGAGAGGATTCCCCCCCCACACACACACCGAGCCTGCAGAGGGAGGGCTGGGGGGTAATTCCTGCTCCAGATTAGAGGTGAGGGCAAAGGGAGGGAGGGAAAGAAGGAGAGAAAAAAGAGGAGAGAGAGGAAGAGGAGGGGGAGGAGGAGGGGAAGGAGGAAGAGGAGGAGGAAGAGGAGGGGAAAGAGGAAGAGGAGGAGGAGGAAGAGGAGGAGGAAGAGGAGGAAGAAGAGAGGAGGAGGAAGAGAGGAAGAGGAGGAGGACGAGGAGGAGGAAGAAGAGGAGAAAAGGAGGGTGAGGGAAGTAAGGAGGAAGAGAAGGAGGAGGAGGAAGAGAGGAAGAGGAGGAGGAGGAGGAAGAGGAGGTGGAGGAGGAGGGGTAAGGGCGGCAAGGAGGAAGAGAAGCAGGA